ACGAACATAAGAGCAAGGCACTTTTTCACGAACAAAAAAAAAAACTGCAAAACTAAATTGCACGTACATGATGCTTTGATTGCAAAATCCTTAGGGCTAACTCTCGACTTATCTTTGTTCTCTACAAGTGACGATGTCAAATGCTATGACAACCAGGTTGACGAGACGTACAACATTGATGATGTCTGGAGCTCCCCATTCTCTGGCTGTAACAGAGTCACTACATCAAGGAGGACGGCGTTCTTTACATTGACAGATGCTAGTGTCAAATGCAGTCACCAATTAGCATTTGAATGCCGGGACCCGGCCGCCCGCACCGTGCAATTCTTCTTACCTAAAAAGCGAACTGAGCATACTATTAAAGAGCTTCGTCTTTTGCAGCGCCCAGGCTTGGTGAAGTACACAGCATGCTAATGTAAACCAGGATTCGTATTATTTCTGTTTGTGCTCGCTGACGTTTCAAACCATGTGCGCTGAAGGTTTGTGGACGGCCCTGGCCTAGTGTCTTTTATAATTAATCACTTATTTTACAGGTGTCCGTCGGTAAGAAAGCGGGTGAACTTCAAGAAGCTGAAGGCCAACAGTCTGTTCTGCCGTGAGGCTCGGGGAGACAGGAGGAAGGAGTTTTCCGACTGCTGTGCCCGCCAGAGTGAGAACCAAAGATGTCTGAATATTCGTCCGCGTGTGCGCATTTGGGGCAACCAAACGTTCCTACTGCAGCGAGGGCATTCAATGCGCGTCTTGTGATATTGGTGTATTGTCTAGTTATATTGTCTTTGTGCACACACATATCACTTTGTTACTTGCTGATTGGCAGTTTTGTTCGGCACCACTCTGATGCTCAGGAAAATATACTTTCGAGTCCGGATGATTGGAACTTCTTGTGACACCTGGGTGAATCATTATCCATAATTTGGTCAGCCGTACACCGATGAAACGCTTGTGAGCGCTGCCACCAGTCATATACACTGTTACCAACTCTCTTCACTCGAAAAGCTGGGAAATCAAGGTTCTGATGGAAGCGCGAATAATGCTGACATATACAACGTCGAGATGCTGGCTGAGATCTGCAACAAAACGAGAAAAATCACACAACCGTTAATGAAACTAATTTTACTCAAGGCAACCAGGTAAGTGAGCTTGTGAGCTTATGAACAAAAAAGTTGTTTCCGCTTATCCGCTACTTTTAAATTACTTACATCACTGATCCCTTCTGACCCTTTTAAAGGGGTGATAATTGAGCTGTAGAGTTGTTGTCCGTCGGCATTTCGTCGAGCTGCGTTCAGCAATGTCGAATGATCTGATGAGCTTTGGTGACAAACTCAAGTAGAACTGGAGTAGAAGTTTAATAGACTGTCATACAAATATTTGACACGGCCAGTGTATCGCAGTGTGCACAGAGCATCAACTGGTATTCCAGTGTCTTGACCTAGCAGCACTAAAAGCACACATTTTCTTGAAGTTTGCATTTTTCGATCATCCACTCGAACGTTAAAAATGACCACAAATGGCTCTTCCCTCCTACTCACTGGTTATGTAAGCCATCTCTCTTAGGCTTGTGAAGGCATCCGCTGCCGCTCGCAGACTTCTCTCGTCTAGACGACCTTCGTGTTTATGACAAAGTGTAACAGCGTGCATATGAGGCTGACTTACATAAGATCAGCTTTGACCGTATGAGTTCCGTGTATTGACCACAACGGGGTGACTTCTTATCCCTCAGTTGTGTATATGCCAGTATCTAAGACCCGGACATGGCTGTGGAGGGTCCTCAGTCATGGCCGGAAGTCTGAACCATACCCCCACACAATCACCATGTTAAGGTAGGTCCTGCTGGCACCAGATACTCAGATAGAAGAACAAGATTGTCTACACGTGGGTCGTTCCCAACCGTTCCCAACCCAACCCAACCCAACCGTTCCCCTACTTCCATGGCTCTAACTATTTCAGATAGTAGGTTCTTTGTACCGTATTTGTTACAAATCGACTAGCAACGAAGTGATTAAGGCCCCGATGCAGCCAACAGAGTTATCCCTGGTTACCTGTGGTACGCCTTCGTGCGCCTGGATAATGTCTGCAACAAACAGTGCTTGCTTAGATTGTCGCTCTTGATAGGAGCAAACGATTGGAACAAAAGGAACAATACTTTCAGGACAACAAATCACGGGAACGATACTTTCCTTTTGGAAAATAGGGGATGTGGCCCTCTGCCCCTGTTGTCGCCCATCGCTACCCCTTCGGCAATGCCCATGATTGTACCGTGATAACAAATCTGTGAAGAACCATCTCCGTGGCTAAAATAAAGCATGCCGACATGTGGAAACAAGAGACCTGCATCACCCCCTCGACGGTGTCTCTGATTTGAGCTCCATGTTTATTCATGCGCATAGAAATAACCGGCCATGGTCTAGTTCCACCAATATTATTTGCGGTAAAAGCTATAAAACGTTGATAACTCATATGCTCCAGATGTAAACTCGGTGTAATCTTCTTTGCCAGGAAGGATACCAACTATTGTGCACCAACTCCTTTTACCCCTGGGTTGCAAGTGGTTGTTGGCGTCCACCCACTGTGAGTTGCCAAGAAGAGAAGTTAGTCTTCTGGAATAGCTCACGTCAGGCCAGTTTCTAAAAATCGCCTGTTCCAGACGATGAATTTCAAATGAGTGCCATGTCTCCAGGTCTTTCCACATCTGCAACTATTTTTGTCTCACAAATCCACGCAACTGTAATGCCACTGATCACGATTTGCCAGTTGTTCCGAGTCAAGTCTCAAAGCACGACGTCATCAGACTGACGTCACGAGCCGCAGCTAACAGCTCTCGTCGCGCTCACTGGGCCAGTACGTCACCGGCTCTGCGGCCGAATCAATCCCACGGCCAGAATGCATTAAGCTCCCTTATTATTCGATCAGTCTGTTAGTGGTGCATGGTCTGTGCAGCTGCACATTGCAAGGTGTTGATGTAAAGGTGCGTGATATCTCATTCACGTGGGACGAATTCATCTCCTCCCAGGCTTAGTGCATAGCAGCACGTACACTGGACGTTTTCGTCGGAAATATTCCACGTATTCAACCTTTGGACGGCCTTGCGAGGATTCCGCAGCGGCAGGTCCCGGCATCGTATTCAGCGATAAGAAGCTCGGCGCCAGTGAGGCCTTATCTTGTCCAGACGCGCATGGGAAACATGCGGGCCAGGGTGAGTGGGCCGAAGCTTTGTGTGGGCCGTATGTGTTGCACCAGCACTGTCAGCAATGGTGCTGGGAAAAGATTAGGTCGGTCGGCCATCAAGAACGTGTTGAAGTGTGGGACGATGCCAGTGCTGTCGAAGACTGGCCTGCTGAGGTCCCAGGGACCCCAAGATACCAGGATATCCAACACACACTACCGGCATCGGAAACAGACGTGCGTTGTTGGTTGTTGTATGTTGTGCGGGTCTGTTTGCACATGTTGCAATATGCAGAGCAAGATAACAGTTTCAGCAGGTTCAATTTACGATGTTAAAAGCATTCAGCATTAAAAACATAAAATGTCCTTCTGGTGCAAACAGCTAGGATGGGCGTGATATTTCGCATGGTGTATGCGATAAGGACCTTCAGCCTCTCAGCTCTTATACTTTTTCGGTATTATGAATTCCAACTCGATGATAAACGGTTTGTGGTCGCTCGACCCAGGATCGAATTCCAGATACAGATGTCTTTTTTCAGTCATAGGTCAGTAGTTAGCTGGCAGCTACCAGAAGAGGGTGAGCCGGGTACAGGGCCTCGTGATCTTGCTTTCACATGAGGAAGCAGACAGGGCGAAATTATCCTTCACCTGGGACAATGCCCTCCGGGTGGTGGCTTGACTGTTACGCAAAATGTCTGTGGGTCCGTGCAAAGCGTTGAACATGCTTTTTGGTCCGACTTGTTTATGAAAAAATCCATGCCGTCACCTCCGTCCGTGCAAAGCGTTGAACATGCTTTTCTGTCCGACCTGTTTTTGAAAAAAATCCATGCCGTCACCTGAGTGCAGTAGTCTTTCCATTTCCCTTCAGTCACCACCAAATATCATATTTCAAATCACCTCGAAGCCCGCTCTGTCTATGTATTTGTAAAATCCAAGGGCTATTTTAGTATCCTGGCAGGAGACGTTGCAGAAAATTTAAGAACTATATCAGCAAAGTCAGACAAGTTCTGAATGAATTTTATGCGCACTCAGATTCAAGGCTCAAGACAAAGTCATGAATCGACAACGGGGGTGTTCGCAAAAAAAAACAAACGCAGAAGCTCTCACCAGGCTCTTCTGCAGTGTAATCGCAGAGACAAACCTTAAAAATAGTCCAGTACCGTCAGTTCCTTCCCATGGCAAATATCTCAACAGCGTCAGTGCTATTGCAGACATGGCGATTGCAAACACGCTAACTTGAGGGCCCAAGGTCGTCCAGGTCCGACACCATTCTTTCAAAGATGATTAGATATATTTCCATCAGCGATATTCCTCGCATTCCGCCAGTCAGTTGACGCTCGGATATAGCAGCATTCGCACGCCGCCGCCATGACCAAATTGACGAACACACAATGGATGGATGATGCCTGGATACATGTACGAGTTGTGCCAAAGCGGGGTCGTACCGCGGTGGGCCATGAGCGAAGGCAACTGTCGGCGGCATTAGGTATGTACGAGTGGAATGCTAACTTCCCAGCCTTCTGGATCCGAGAAGCGGTTGGTAAAGTGTCCCACCTCCGCTTGTTTCTGTGGGCCCATCCATGTCCTTTCTTGGCCGTTTCCAGTACTGCGAAGCGGTTGGTCTTTACACTGGCTCCGATCCCGGTCCCACCTCAACTAAGTGCGTCATGGTGAAGGCCCCAAAGTCGGGCGTCACGCACGTGCCAAAACAGCACCTCTCGAGAGGATTCCCTCCTGGAAAACCGCGCTAATCTCAACCGGTCCTGTGCACCGTGACGTCACAGTCCGGTGCCGCATATATAACGAGCCGGCCGCTGGGGAATGCATACAGAAGCGTTTGGTGGCCAGACCAGACAGCAGACGAGAGTGGACTCTGGTCAGCTGCAGTGCAAGACTGTCAGTCAGCAATATGGGGAAACTGCTGGTCATCGCTGCTGTTTGTGTGCAGCTGTGCTGTGCACAGTACCCGAGATACCTTCGTTTCCCGGTTGGCAGAGGTAAGATCTAAAAATGTGATGTCATGGTGACTGTATGTGTCCCGTTGATACCTCTTGCCTTTTCTTGCAGTCAGTTTACGAACATGACAGCAAGGTAGTTTTGCATGACCAACCAAGCAAAGCTGAACTAATCATACCCGATGTTTTGACTGCAGGATCCTGAGGGCTAACTCTCGACTTATTGATGTTCCCTACAGGTGACGACACCAAATGTCATGACAACCAGGTTGACAAGAAGTACAACATCGGTGATGTCTGGAGCTCCCCATTCTCTGGCTGTAAACAGAGTCACTGCATCAAGGAGGATGGCGTTCTTTACATTGACAGATTCCAGTGAGTGTTAAATGCAGTCACCAATTAACAGTTCGAGGTCGGGACCTGGCCACCTGCCACCGTGCAATTCTTGTTACCAGTATAAACCCACCGGACATGCTATTCAAGTTCTTCGTCATTTCTGGTGTCCAGAGTTGGTGAAGTCCGCAACATGCTAATGTAAGCCAAGATTTGTATGACAAACGTTCAAATTTGCAAACGTTTCAAATCATGCGCGCTGAGAGTTACTTAATGGCCCCGCCTATCGGGTTTTATAATTAACTTACTTACTTTACAGGTGTCCGTCGGTGAGAAAGCAGGTGGACTTCAAGAAGCTGAAGGCCAACAATCTGTTCTGCCGCGAGGCTCGGGGAGACAGGAGGAAGGAATTTCCTGACTGCTGTGCCCGCCTTGTCTGTAAACACTACGTGGACGGGGAGCTTGTGCCGCTGCCGGCGCACAAATATCCCCTGCTCTAGTCAGGGCTGGGATAGAACTACATTTGCTCGAGTGCGAACCAAAGATGTCCGAATATTCGTGCGTGTGCGCACATTTTGTGCAATTGAATGTTCTTGTTGCTGCGCGGGCTTTCAGTGCGAGTCTTGTGGTATGGGTGTATTGTCTATTTGAATAGTTTTTTTGCACACAAGTATCAGTTTTTTGCCCACAGCTCGCGTGTTTTGTTCGGTAGCGGTCTGATGCTCAGGAAAATATACTTTTGAATCAGCATTGACGGGATTTCTGAAGACATCTGGGCGAACCATTATGCATAATTGTGTCATCTATTTAGGTGTTCTGGCCATCCGCACACCGATCAAACGGTTGTGAGGGCTGCCGCTAGTCGGATACATATTACCAATATTCTTCGCTCAAAACGCATGGAAGTCAATTTACTGATGGAAGCGCGAACAGAACTGACAAATGTATACGACTTTCAGATCCTAAATGAGATCTGCAACACGACAGAAAAATCACACAATGGTTAGTTGAGTTAAATTTTGTCTAAGCAGTCAATTTACTGATGGAAGCGCGAACAGAACTGACACACGTATACGACTTCCAGATCCCGAATGAGATCTGCAACAACAACAGAAAAATAACACAATGGTTAGTTAAGTTAAATTTTGTCTATCGGAGTAATCGGATAAATACATTGGTGAGCCTACTAAAAGCTAACGAAAGACCGTGTTTTTTTTTTTTGTTAGTTGTCCGCTATTTTTCAAAACTCCATCAGTGGCCCATTTCAACATTTAAAGGGTGATTATAGACCTGGAGAATTTGTGCCCGTCGGCATCTTGTTGAGCTGCATTCAGTGACACCGAATGAACTCATGAGCTCGGGTAAAAAACACTCGATCTGTGCACGGGTTATTTGCATGCGTGATAATCATGATAATGTGATGTGTAATTACTGTGGGATTATTGTTAGCACTGTCTGCTGTTTTTTGGGGGTGGGGGTGGGGAGGGAGTCGAAGGAGGTCATTAGGGAAACTTCTCCGGAGTCAACCGACCCTGTTTTATTCTATTAGTAGGAGTTCAATGCACTGTCGAACAAACCTTTGGTACAGGCCAGTGTATCGCAGTATCCTCACAGCATCACAAAACATTTCATTGTCTTGACCTAGCGGCACCAAACACACACTTCTTCCTGGAGCTTACATTTTCCTATCATGTACTCGAGCCTTAAACATGGCCACAAATGTATCTTGCCCACCTACCCGCTTGTGCGTAAGCCATCGCTCTGAGGCTGGTGGCTGAGGCATCCATTATCTCTCGCAGATTTGCTGTGTCTAGACGACGCTCGTGTTTATGACAAAGCGTAACCCCGTTCATATGAGGCTGACTCACAGCAGACCAACTTTGACCGCATGAGTCACTTGTATTGACCACAACGGCGTGACTCCTGTCATCTCCGTTACGCATATGCCAGTATTGGGGACCCGGACATGGCTGGGGAGGCTCCTCAGTCATGCCTGGAAGTCTGAACAACATCCCTACATAACCACTCTGTTAAGACAGGCCCTGTTGGCACCAGGTTTTCAGATAGACGAATATGATTGTCTTCACGTAGATCATTCCCAACCGTTTTTATCTTCCATGACTCTAACTATTTCAGATACCCTGGTTTGATGGCATCCACCTATGTAAAGCAGGGTCGTTGTACTGTCTGTTACATATGGCGACCGGCAACGAAGTGATTAAGGCCCCGATGCAGCCAACAGAGTAATCCCTGGTTACCTGTGGTACGCGTTCGTGCGCCTGGATAATGCCGGCAACAAACAGTGGTTGAGACGGCCTCCTTTTTGGGTCCATACTTCTCCTGAAAGCAGGAAAATGTCGGGTGCGTACTCATCTTTAGTGCAATCCGAGTCTTGCGCGTTGATTTCCGTGTAGCCCAATTACTCCCATGTGTTGCATGTTGTCGCGAAAGAGTTTTTTTCTTGGTTCATGGCGGTGCTCGATAATGATAAATCTAAGCCTTTCGAGTGTCTAACTCACCAGGCTACCTGACAAGACTATCCTAATGCTACCATATGGAGCTTTGGGACAGACCCGACGCAGCTAATACAGAAGTGTTCGATGGCGAAATTCTGCTCTCTGGAGATGTTTATCATGCACAACTCTTACTTGTTCGCACTTTGATCCCGTAGGTTGGTGGGCATGATTTATATTTATATTTGGGTGGTAAATGGGATGACTCTGTCTGCCAGCAGACCATGCAAAAGGTGCTGACTTCTTGTCTTGGGGGAGCAGGAAGAAGCCAGGAAGTCTCCTGTGTACCAAGTAATTGCTTACCTAACCTGCTGCGACAAATGATTGGTGACCAGAGTTAGCCATTTTACGTTTTAATCCATCGAGTTTGTCGTAAGACAAATAATGATGCCACAAGGCATGCAATGGGCTTATTTTGTTTCATATTCGTGATCTTTTGCCCCAAATTTCTTGAAGGTCCCTCATGGCTGCCTTAACCAGATATTTTCCATAGTTGCCATGTTCAGGTGACTGGCAAATGACTGTACTGTATACTTGCGCTATATTTTTAACACAGGGATACTCTGAGCTGCATGGCCATTATAATATGAGTTAACTATTAGTATGTAATAAATAGTCAGACCAATCCATTTAAAATGTGAAACCGGCATCTGAAACTTTGTCATTAAATGTGAATAAACAAGCCTAAAAAGATGCTTTTGCTGCAGCTGAAAAGGCAAGCAGCAATACTGGCATGGTCATTTAAAAGTCATGTTACTTTTGGCGAAGAGACATTGTTTTGCGGAGCATACCCATTATTGCCCTTGACATAGGCTAACCATGGCAATCAAAATAAGTTGTTCAACGTGATTTAAAGTGTTTTGATTTGTGTGTTGTCAACTTTGTCTGATATCAACAAGCATTTACAAATGAACTGAATAAAATGCAAGTTGAAACCAGCCAAAAATTAGCTTTATCATGTTTTTATCACAAGCGCTGCCGTGAACAGAGAGGTGAGTTGAGATGATGTTCAACATATGGGCTTCTCTAAGTTGGGTGGAGTTGGTAAGTGCATGGCAAGTGGCAATAAGAATTGCGCAAGAATCAATAACTCACAACTGCTGCTGTGAAACAAACAGGTTTGACAGGATGAGGTGAAGTAAGGCCTCTTTAGGTTAAGCATAGTAAGGCTACTTTCATGGAAGTAAGCACTGGTATTTTTAAGAAACAGCGACAAAATGTTTTCTCCCTGACCCCATCTTAACAGAAGTCAGAGGTATGTCTATTGTGTTTGACTTGGTGATGGACTGATGTGTAGGAGTTCAAGGTTTTTTTTGTTTAGTGTTTTATGCTTGTTGAACTTTTTGTTGTTACTTTTTACTGAATTCCTTTGCTTTGCTTTGTGTTAAAAGTCCTGTGAAAGTGAAGTGCAAAGTGCAGCATTAAATTATTGGTGTTAATAATTTGTTATGCTCATTACGCTGTCATGAAATGACTATGTTTTATTGTATTCTGTTTCACTTAAATAGACTCAGATGTCAAAAATCAAAACGGTTTTGTCAGGTTTATGATACTACGTCCATGCTAAGTTGAAAAAGGTGTCTTTGTTTGCTGAAGCATCATTCACGAGCTCATAAGATCCATCTCTTGTGGACTGATTTTCTCTCTCTCGCACGATAGTTTTGCGATGGAGTTTTTCACTCCCATCCTAGGTCAAAAGCGATTCTAGCTCATTGCTCATTGCTCCCTTCGGCAATGCCCATGATTGTACGGTGATAAAAAATATGTGAAGAGTCATCTACGGTGCTAAAATGAAACATACCGTCAGAGGGAAAAGGCAGACTTTCGTCACCCCTGGGTCGTGTCTCTGATTTAGGCTTTCCGTTTATTCATGATCTTGGCCCCATCCGACCATGGTCGAGTGTTACCAAAACTATTTCCGGTAGAAACAAAAAAATGCTGATAACTCATATGCTCTAGGCGTAAATTGGGATATTCTTTTCACCACGAAGGATATAAACTGCTGTACACCTATTCCTTTTACCCTTGGATTTCAAGCGGTCGTGACGTCCGCTTATCGTGTGCTCCTAAGAAGAAAGTTCAGTCTTCTGGACCAGTTCGCATCGAGGCCATTTCTAAAAAAATCGCTTATTACCGAACGTTGCACTTCAAATGAGTGTCGTCTATGCAGGTCTTCCCATCCCTTCAACTGTTTTT